ATGTTGATGATGCTTACCCGGGTATCGTCATCATTTATCTTCGCAATAAAATACGGGCGTTCCCGGCCCGAGAAAGGCGCCGATTTGACCGGGGATAGGGAATGCGCGTAAGTTGGCCTGAGTAGTGCCCTCGGGCATTTGCTCAGGTAACGAGGGTTCCCGGACTCACTGTGCGCACTTTCTCTTAACAGGGGGGAATTATAATCGGGTTGACCATTGGCTTGCACACATGAAATCGTTTCACTCAGTTCAATATTGCTAAATGCGTTATAAGGAGGAATCTCTCAGGTGTTTGTGGTTACTCGCCGAAGCTTATCTATTCGCTACAATCATAATGCATTCATACAACATTGCTGATGATATCCTTGTTTCCCCTGCCAGTTTGATTATTATCTCTTTCTAGTGGCACTGAAATAACCTAAAAGATGGGGTTTGAATACTACCAAAATGATGAATCAGTACCTTTGATTTCAACAATTCACCACATTTAAGAGCTTTCACGCATGCTGATGTTGATCTTGGCAACTGTGGTTTAGCTTCTGCATCGGGTTTGGGCTTCTCTTTAGGTTGCTGGCGTGAAGTCTTCTCAGGTTCAAGACTGACTAAGTCATATCCTCTCGAGGAAAGGTGGCTTGGAGAAACATTTTCGAAAAAAACTCTGGAAAGTTTAGCAATTAGCAGCAAAATTATCACCTGTGAACAGTGCCACTGAAATAATTCGAGAGCTTCTTCGAACATTTTGTGCAAATATTCAGATTAAAGGGATGAGTTCGGAGTATGAATAGTAGATGTTTCCACCTATAAAATTGGTGTATTGTGTTAACTAACCGAAGCAGTCCCTGAAAATCCCTGTGTCAAAGCTGATACCTATTGTACACAGATGAAAATCCCTCTGTCATATTTTGATGAGGTTTTGTTTGCAGTGATGCTTCGTTTCTGTTGTTCACTTGTTGTTGTTGAATGATATTTCTCACAACGTTGAATAAAAGTTTTTTAACTCGTGTTCCATGACCTGTTCACCAAAATTTGGGGTCACCTTTGAAAATCTCGAATTATGGTGACAGGTCATCTTTTTGTGGTGGTCAGCGAGCGATGCTCGTGCAGTTGTTGAGAGGACAACGGATGGCAGGTCTTTCGCAACAAATAAGACCGAGTTTCATTCTGATTGTTATTCTTTTGAAGTTTCATTTTGATTTGATCCTTCTTTTAGTTGGTATGATGCTTCGTTGTCAAATATTCACACAGGACTGGCATGAAAATCGTTGATGTTTTTATTTTGATACTGACGGGTAACTGTGGTGATATTTCTTACACGTAACATGGCTGAGACTGTGAAATTTCGGAATCTGTGATCATTGCGGATGTCCGGACTGTGTTGTTTTAGATCATGTGAACGAACGGTGTTTTAGGCTGATATGATAAACTGTTAAGTAGCTGAGTGAGCAAAAGATTATTCTGGAATGTAATGGGAACATCCCGTGTTTGTTTAGCTTTGGTCGCATGCTGTGGTTGGCAAGTAGCGTTACTGTTATGGAAAAAACTGTTTGAATGATAGGATTGAGAGGATTTGTGAGTGGTTCGGAATGTCGATACTGTGGAACATGATTATTACTATTAGGCAGTTGTTTTAGAATTTTGAGTCCGGCTTTGCCTGCACGTGATGTTGATTATCTGTAAAAACCTCGAATCATGGGCTCTAGTGTGTCAATCATCTTTCTTGTTAGGACATTTCATCCTTAAAAGATAGCTTGTGGCCCTATGCTGGTACCGCAGTAGTATCCCTTATCGTACTTGTGTTTCAGTCGCTGTCGTACGAGAAATTCGGTGCTGTTAAGCAACAGCCGGTTTTGTTGTAATGAAAGCATTGTATTGAAAGCTTCATTGAGATTATCATTAATTATGGTTGCTTCTCAGAAAGTTGGATTCAACCGTACAGCGATATTCAGAACCCTTTCATAATGTTCATAGTAACTGTAAAAAGGCTCTTGAAAGTTTAGCAATGACCAGTATAATTATCACTCGTCAATAGTGACACAGGAATAGTTCGAGAGTTTCTTCGAAATTTTCGTGCAAATATTCAGATTCAAAGTATGAATAATAGATTTTTCCACCCATAAAACTGGTGTATCATGGAAACTAACCGAGGTATTCCCTGAAAATCCCCGTGTCAAAGCTGATGGCTATTTTATGGAGATAGAAGCTGATGGCTACTTACCTCTGTCATGTTTTGATGAGGTTTGGTTTGGAGTGATGGTTCGTCTTTGCTGTATATGCTAATTCATGTTAT